TTGCAGACATACCATCGTCGGCATACGCGGGCTGGGGCGTCGGTCGAGCAGCTATCAGGTCCAAGCAAGAACAGCTGCAGGCTAAGTCGACGCACTCGCGCGTGCAACTATTCGGCCACTCGGCGCGCGGCTACGACAACATCGACCATGCCCAGCACGTCAAAGCCCACGCGTCTGGCGGACAGTACGCTGCTCTCACGGACGAAGAGAAGCGCATCGCCGATGCAAACGTTGTTGCTGATGCCTTTGCGTAAAAAAAAAGCTACGCTGCTGCATATGTCTGCATCCCCTGAGCTCCTGGCGAGAGTTGATGAGGCCAGCGCGAATGACTTGCATGGTGCTAGGGCGCGCGCCTTCCTTCACAAGTTTTGAACAGGAAGAAAGGTGTGCCATGCCCCCTGTTGTTGCTCGGTCCTGCGGCGCGAGGGGGGAAAGCTGGCGCGATTGGTGCGCGACCTCCATCGGAGCCCAATGAAAACATTGTCTTTGCGTCCTGGAACCTGGCCGTGACAGACCTCTATCGGGGTGTAGAGGGCAGCCCATTTCCTTGCGTGCAGCCAGGCGTAATCCCATGGGCCACCAGTTGGCTGCCGTTTCCCATGGAAAATTGGATTCCTGGAGCTGCGCGGGGCCAGCCTGCGCAGCCCCAGTATTCGTGCGTTTTCTCTGTAGAGGGGCGCAGCAGCGTCGGGGGGAGAAGCACAAGGCCCCCTGCGTTAGACCACGACCAAGGGCCAGGGGGTACTTCGCAATCTCATAAGGGGAATCTTGCCGCACAAGCGTGTTGCCAAGCGAGCAGATGACGTCGATCCCATTCAGAGTTTGGCCCCCGACGTTGGCCAGCCTTTCTCGACGTCGACCAGCGTTGCCCGTTCGAACCCAGATTCTGCAGCGAGCTATGAAGCCCGCGCGCTGCCTTGCACGCGAGACAAGGCGATGGGGGGGGCTGCCAGAGCTGCGGCCCCCGCCCGATAGAGCGGCCCCTCGCCGCTCGCCCCGCTCATCAAGTGGAGGCGCGAGGTGTTTGCTCCTCTCTTGTGCTTTGCTATGTAGCAGGTGCCAGTAAGGTCACGGGGTCATAGAGTCCTCCTCCTCCTCCTCCTCCTCCTCCTCATCCCCCTCCTCCTCGCCCCCCTCCCCCCCCCTTCCCCCCCGCTCCTCCTCCTCCTCCTCCTCCTCCTCCTCCTCCTCCTCCTCCTCCTCCTCCTCCTCCTCCTCACCCCCCTCCTCCTCCGCCCCCCCTCCCCCTCGAGCGTGTCCAGGGCGGCCCCCGGCGCCCGTCGCGCCGAGGGCCTGGCGACCGCGCGTCGCGCCAGCCCGACGGCCGCCTCGAGGAACTTCACTGTCGGGGGGCTCGGCGCCGCGCGGACGATATCGCGGCGGGCGTGGGCGAGGGCGACGGGGGAGAAGGTGGAGCGGGATGGGCATAGCAAGCACAGACGCCTGATCGGACATGGGGGGGGGGGGGGGGGGGGGCGGGGAGGGGCGCGGCGGGCAGCCGCGAAGATCAGAAGGAGATGGGGGCACATCCACATGCGCTCAAAAGAGTGTCCACTTGGGCAGCCTCACGGACAGTCTCCGAATTCTTGATCGTTTGGGGCAGTTTTCCACCCACCCACAATAATCTTAACGATAGCAGGCCGCCAGGAGGGGGGGCGGGAGAAGAGGCAGGAACGGACTGCAGACCAAGGGATTTGGGCGATCAGGCGGGAGCGCTGGGGGAACCACTTTAAGAGCCTACGGGAGAACAGAAGGTGGAGTTCATCAGGAAGGAGACAAACAGAGGGATAAGAAAGAAGAAGGCGTTGGGGACGAAGGGCTTTACAATGCAGACGAGGATTGTCACGTTGAAATCGTTTACAGTGAAGAACGGCTTTAGGACATTGATGCTTAAGTCCACGAGATGCGGGGAAACCTAGATGGGCCTCCATAAGGGCACCTGCAAAGGCTGGGGAGCTCCAGAAGGACGGCCAAAGCTGAGGTCCCCATATGTCGTCGGCCCACTCTCGCCCGCGAAGGATGGTAGCCAACGGGATATTGTTGTCGGCGGACTCTTGAAGGATCGACATCATCGGGCTCTCATGATCTGGGCGAGGTTGGACATCCATGGGCTCGGAGCGCGCGGACCTCCCCGGGGCCCCAGGTTGGGCCAACCTTTTTCATCGAGGCGGAAGCAAGGCATCTGAATGACGCTGGCGAGGAGCGCGTGCCCCCTCTTGCCCCGGCCCTTCAGCAGCAACGGGAACTGCCCCACATGGGGCAACGCCGAAAGAGCAGGTCGAGTATAAAGTCCAGAAGCCAGCTCGGGGGGGGGGGGGTGACCTTCTTCCGCGATCATCTTCGCTCTCAGCGCGTACTTCGCAAAGGGGGCAGCCCAGGAGGTTTCGGGGTCCACGGCGGGGCCTGGCCAGAGGCCGAGGTAAAGAACTCCACCGACGATTTCGATGTTAGTCCAGGCGGGGGCTCTGCGGGCGAGCTCGAGATGGCGCTGGCGGGCGATCCGCGGGCAGAGAGCGCCGGCCAGCGGGGCAAGCTTGCACCTTGCGACTTTGAGCATCAGGTGATCAAGAACCTCTGCGCGCTCAAACTCGGCGCATCAGTTCGACATCTGGAAGTCTGTGCAGAAGCGCTCCGACGTCGTCCGCGCACGCTCGGACCAGTCCTTTTCCATGGGATTCCAGGAGGGCCCGGAAGTGTTATAACAACGGATCAGCTCCCACGGCGCAAATGGTTCCACAGGCGGAACATCCTCGGGCGCTGCCGCTCGCAATCCAGAACAACGCGAGCTCGGCGCCTCCGATCATGCCAGAGCAGACGACTCCAGTGCAAAGGTTGAGGAGAAGGTGGAGAAGGGGGGAGGGGTGGGAGAGACGACAGAGGACCGAACAGAGCCACTCTTGGGACATGGAAGGGAAGGCGCGGCCAAAGTCAAAGCAGAGAAGAGAGGGGGGGCGAGGGAGGGTTCGCCAATCATGCTGGCGCGTTGGCTAGGGGCGTCAAACTAAGTAATGTTGTTTCCAAAATTTTTCTTCGGGACAAATCCTCTTTGCGCCGTGTCGAGCCCGTCAGCGGAGGCGCGGGCGAGGGGGCGGACCGGAACTCTAGTGATGATCTTATTGTCGCAATTTTTCAAGCCGAGCGGCCGAGTCTCCGAGGGGCGCCTGGTGCCTTCGGGAAGCCAAGGGGGATCCGTACCTTCGGGGATAAAAACCCCTCGCGCCATGTTGCCCCCAAAAAGGAGGCCCCCTCCTCCGTGGATCCATCGCATCGAATTGAAGAGAACGTCAACACCGCGAGGGGCATTCCCCCAAGCGCAATAGGGCAGCCTATCGGGGCCGCAGGAACTGCGAGATTGGACTTCAACATATTTCTTCAGAGCTAAAAAAGTCGGGGGGGGGGGGGGGGGGGGGGGGGGGGGGGGGGATATCCGCTCCAACAATTTCGGGGGTGCATTGATCGAGATATCGTTCGGCCTCCTCGCGGCGATGCGCCTTAGCAGTGAAGATCAGCGCCTAGCGCTGACAGGGCGCGCTTGAGATCGCAGACGGCTGCTGGACAAGAGCTCCGCCATCGGTCCTCACTCCCGCGAGCGTGGCGCGGCGATCGAACGGCGACCAGAGCTGGGCCAATCGCGCCAGGCGTCGCGATCTCGCATTGATGCGATCGATCGCGCTCGGATTCTGAAGCCGCTGAGCGGCAGCCTGCAGGGGGCGCTGGGGCCTTGTTGGAGACGTGGAGGTGGAGGGAGTTGGAGAGGGCCGTGAAGGTCTGAGGGTCAGAGAGGGAGATGAGGTGGGTCTCACGGTTGCGGCCCAGGTGCCCCCTGCAAAGCTCGCGCGAGCGGTGAAGTTTCCAAGCGAGGCGCCTTTCTTGCCGAAAAAGAGCACGTACCATACTGCCGACCATGAGAGAAGCGCCGGCTGTCTTCGAGCGTGGCTTCCTCATTATAGCTATGCCGCGAGCGTGGCGCCCAGCTTCAATCATCAGACGCTTGTAATAATCATGGGCCAGAGCAGGTGGCAGGTGCTCGAAGGGCGCCGCCCCGACGGCGCGGGTCAGAAAGGCGCGGAACTCCTGAGGTTCAAAGGTCGCTGTCGGGATGGGCTGGCCCCCGGGGGGGTGTTCTTGGCCGCGCTTGAACGCGTGCAACCACGGGGGCGTGATCCGAAAGGCCTCGGGCAAACGAGATCTCGGGGCGTTCAGCGACCCCCCCCCCCCAGAGGCGCATTGCGAAAAGGGCCGGCCAGGCAGCGAGGAGAACGCCCGATCGATGAAACACAAGGTGGACCGTTCACTACACGAGTGAGACGGGGAGAGGGGCTGGAACTCGGCGGGTGGGGGACTTTCCATTGGCGGGGGAAGAGAAGGGGGCAAAGTCGAAAAGGAGGGTCGGGCCCTGGCCGCCCCGAGGGCTGGGGGGGATGGGATGGGGGAATGGGAGGAGAGGTTCATATCCCCAGCGATAAGAACCAATCTACTCATCGGGTCCATCTGGGCCTCGGCTAACGCGTCAGTGGTGTTCAGCAGCAGCGCCGCCTGAACGGTCGAGAGACCTTGGTTATGAATGTTAAAGTGCTTCACCCACCACTTATCATTCTGAGCCCTGAAGCTGGTCAGAAGCGCCCTTCCTGAAACGATCGGAGCGGAGGCGACGGGAAAGGGGGGGGCGCCAATCGTGGCAAAGCGCGCGCTGGACTCTGTAAAAGTGGGGAAACGGGCGATCACGCCCCCTGTGCGAAAGATATTGTGGAAAGAGATAGAAGCCGAGCAGGGGCGATGGTAGGCATGGATCATGTCTAACACATCACACTCAGCACCGTGCGTTTCCTGAAGGGCAATGATGGTCCCAGCCATTACAATCGAGAGCTTGCGAATGCGCACGCCGTCATCGCGATGGAATAGCGCTCGAGCATGCCAAGACGCAACGTGCATGCAACCACTCGCATGCTCAGGGCGGTCAGAGCCGTGCCAGAGGGCACTCAGTTTGTCAGGAAGTCCACCGCGTCTCCGTCTGGGTGCCGAAGCCATCGGCGGTGGCCTGCCTGATCCTCGCCGGCGCCATCTGCTCGGGCGCGATGTTGTCGTCGGCGAACTGGAGCTCGGGGATCTCCTGGCCCTCGATCGGGCAGATCTTGAGGATGGGCTTCCCGCCCGCCAGAACCTCCCCATTGAATTTATCTGCAAACAGCGGGTGGAGGTCCTGTAACAACGTTCTCGCCTTCTTCGTGCCCAGCTCGCGTTTGATCTGACAGATGCTCTTGCCGGGGCCCGCGAACAAGGCCGCGGGCCCGCCCGCGATACTTTCGGCCGTGCACGATCTCCACCGGGGAGAGCCTCTGTCACCAGGGGATGAGATTTTGAGGGCGCCCAGGACCTGTGAGACCTTGCGGGCAGCCACGTGCTTGTCGCCTTTGAATCGGAGCGTATACTTCTGGGACGTCGGGTCGGATTCGTCGAACTTCCATTCGCCGCCGCCGATGTTGCAGTCCTTGAGCCAGCCAGCCAGGCCTTGCTCGACTGCAGCCTGTGACACCAACGCTTGGGCGCGAACCGCCACGATGGGCGTGTCGATCTGTCTGTCGAACGTGCTGGACCCTGGGCGCACCAGCTGCCGAAGGCGGAGCTCTTCGCGAATCTGCGCCAGCTGCTGGTCCACTTTGTCCAGCCGCGCGCCGTTCTGCAGCTGGGTCGTTTCCACCGTGCTGATGCGCTGCTCCATCTGCCTGCTGAACTCCGAGTGGGACGAGGTGACATTGTTGGCGAGCTGGCCAAGGGAGGTGTTGACATTCGACTGGGCCGTCGCAATGGAGCACTCCAGGCCGAGCCGCATGTCATTGGTGATGTATGCCTGCATGTTGAATGGCTGTCGTCTGCTGCATATGCTGCTGGCCGATGTTCTGAGTTCCGCCAGGAAGAGGGGGAACACTGGGCTGTGCTGGACCATCGAGATGTATGATGGGCACGCCTTGCGGGATGCCGCCGTGCGCGACTCCACTTGCTGCACCACGAACAGGGGCCGCTGGCTGACTCGAGTCGCCGAAGGCACTGCGCTTGCTGTCAGGGGATTCGTCGTCATCGCCCACGCGAACTGCACCAGGCCCAGGAGCAGCACGCACAAGTGTGACGACCTGCGAGGAAGAGAACGTCGGCACCTGCGACAGCTGGTCGGCCACCTGCGAGTCGATGATCGTCTCGGCCAAAGCAGACCCCATCTGCTGCTGCGACGGGGCTCCATTGGACATGGCGCCGATGAAAGCGGAGCAACAGGACCTTGGTACACTATACGACCCGTGTACAGAGGGGGAGTGAACGACCAGAACCGTGAGGCGGAGGCCCCTGTCCAGCGGGGCGTCTCCAGGGCCTCGAGAGCGGGGTGTCTCCAGGGCCTCGAGAGCGGGGCCACCCTGGACCAGCCTCGAGTGGAATGGATTACTTGAGCCAAATCGGCTTGAGCCAAAATGGCTACGGTCCTCCTCCTCCTCCTCCTCCTCCTCCTCCTCCTCCTCCTCCTCCTCCTCCTCCTCCTCCTGGCCGCCCACGACCCCTTCCCCCTCCCCCTCCCGACAGGTCGTCCCGCTGGTGCCGCTGCTCCCTTCTGGGCCTCTCCTCGCCCCGCCTCCTGCGCTTGTCCCCTGCGCAGCCTCGTAGAGGCCGCCGTTGGGAGACAGGTGCAGGCTCCCAAAGAAGGTGTCCTCCGGGTCGAGTTCCTTGGAGGAGAGGGGGAGTAAGAGGAAGACGAATATATATATATTATATATATATATATATAACATTTTATATATATATATTATAGAGAGGAGAGAGAGAGAGAGAGAGAGAGAGACGAGGGGGAGGATGAGGATGAGGATGAGGAGGATGAAAAGGACGAGGGGGAGGAGGAGGAGGAGGAGGAGGAGGAGGAGGAGGAGGAGGAGGAGGAGGATGAGTCCAAGCTTCTTGGAGGAGAGGGGGAGTACGAGGAAGACGGAGAGGGAGAGACGAGGAGGATGGCACGCAAGGCGAGTGAGGGAGGCAGGGCCGTCGACGAAGAGATGGGGGCGGAGGGGGAGGAGGAGGAGGAGCGAGGAGGAGGAGGAGGAGGACGCCGGGGAGGAGGAGGAGGAGGGGGAGGAGGAGGAGGAGGAGGAGGAGGAGGAGGAGGAGGAGGAGGAGGAGGAGAAGGAGAAGGAGGAGGTCGTCTGAAGAGATTGACGAATGTGCCGACGACGATGGTGGCAACAGCGAGGGTATGCAGGTTTCCCGACGATGTGCTCGGGGTCCAGCTCACTTGGACAAACCAGATGCAACGCCACGGCCATCTTCGAGCTGAGGAGCGGGTCTTTGGAGGGGAGGAGAAGGAGGAGGAGGAGGAGGAGGAGAAAGGAGGAGAAGGACGAGGAGGAGAAGCGATGAGGAGGACGAGACGAGGAGCGAGGAGGAGGAACGAGGAAGAGTATCAAAGAGATCCGTGGCCAATGTGGCTCAAGGTAGAAGCCTCTACCGCGAGACTGCGAGCTCGCCCGCAGCCGTGCGGCAGCTTCGAGGCATTGCAGGTGCAGACCGTCTTGAGGATTCTGGCGCAGGGGAGCCAGCGGCCCCTACCACTCACATTTACAATTACAACGGCTGTCGGTCGTGCGTCTACAGCAGGGGCCCGACCACAAGCAACCTTCCACAAGAAACCCAGCCCTGAGACCCCATGGCGTCCATTGATTTTTGGTGTGAGACCATGGCGAAACCATCGAAACCCAAGATACCCAGGCCAACCTTTGAAGCGAGCAGGGTGTTTCTTGGCATGGGTCTCCACTATGCAGCTGTATCATGTTATGGCTCCTGCACCTAAACCTCCTGGTGCTTGGAAGTGCGAAATGTAGATGCGCCCGCAATGAGAAGCACTGGACATGGTGCAAACATAATCGTGCCCTGTGGAGCGATGTGCTATTGTTCAAAACCGAGCCCCTCTCTGACAGCGTCTGGGGAGGCAAGGGGAAAGAAAGAAACGACTTCGGTGAATATCAGGCTGCCTCTACTCTCATCCCGGACAGTAGTGGCGGACGTGACTCGCGTGAGGCCGACTTGGTACAGCCCGCGGCTATTCACTAGAAGGCAAGACACACCAGTCATGCGGAAAAGTACAGCGCCCAGCGCGAGATCATGCGCGGCAAGAGCCGTCAGCTTTCGCTATCGCCGAAAGGCAAAAGCGGATAAGGCCACCAAGCAGATCCAGCATCTGAAACGACAGCTCAACCAACACATCGAGGCTCACATGCGCGCGGGATTTCAGCTGGAGAACCTTGTGGGCCAGATCATGCAGCTAACGGATCAAATGGAAAATCAAGAGGCACTCTACAATGAGGCCGTCCTTGATTTTCATGCTGGAGTCCAGGGTCAACAGTCGCCGTCGCATGCTGTTGGACCTGCAGCTGTGGTATATCTCGGTGACATCATGGACGGCGAGGTGGACTTCCTGAACGTCGATCCAGCAGACTTCGTCGGTCTCAACGAGTACGTGGACTTGCCGGCCGGCGAGAAAGACGAGGCTGAGAAACGCATATGCGACCTCAATGCTGCTTTCACTGAGCAGGCTAAGAACATGTTCGTCATGGCCAGACAAAGAGCTGAACTCAAGAAGGGACACGACGCACAGATACAACGATTGGCAAAACAGAGACGCAACAGCAATGCTCGAGGGGCTGCTGGTGGTGGTGGACAAAGGAAGCCTCTAGAGCCTGGCGGAACATCAGCGTCACGGCCGTCTGCGGGGTCGGCCTTACCAGTGCCACCAGTAGCAACGCTGCAGCCATCTGCCCGAGCCAAGACCCAGGCTGTTCTCGCAACGCCAGGTGTACAGCTCCCGAGGCACCCGTTCGACAGGGGTGTTGGCAAGGGTGCGGAGGGGAAGACAGGATCCTAGCAGTGCCAGTCAAGGGCCACTCAACGCTTGGCTACACACTCATATGCACAAGATCCCCTGCCTGCTTCCCTGGCCCCACGAAAGACTTGAGAACAGGAGCGAGGGAGGGAGAGGAGGTACACGGATACCCAGGGATGCTCCATTATCACGGCGAGCACATCTTCATGGGCTGCAGTTGAAAGCGTGATTCCAGGCTCCAGAGCTGCAGTCATCTTGGTTCGAGAGCATCGACCGTTGGTTACCGCACATGCAGACATGGTCAAGAAGATGGCAAGGTTTGGATGGACTATGCATGGACTGCCAGCTCTGGCTACGGAGAAAGGTCGAGAGGTGTCTGCATCGTGGTACGATCGAACTTGGGCAGAAGGTCTCCAGATGAAGGCAGCCTTAAGCCAGGACGAGCTGCACGATGCTACATCAGATTTGTTGAGCTTGGCGTCTGCATGGTTGACACAGTCTGCATGTTCGTGGGAGATGGACTCACCCCGCGTAACTTGAAGTTGGTCAGATGTCGAGGTGATGCAACTCGGCTTCACAAGGCACCGATTGTGATAGTAGGTGATTGGAACAACCCACCACATGCGATAGGAGAGGCTCTCTCATTGAATATACTCGATGGACTGATTCGTGGAGACGAATTACCTGCATTCAGAAACTAATTGCCAAACTCAATCACAAACCTCTTGGTGGTAGGCGCCCGCTGGGATTCTACCCGGCACCGTCGAGACTATCGGGAAGGTTGTGGAGGCATCGTCGACGTAGATGGGAACGCTACCAAGGCCTCTGTGGCCAATACAGCATGTCGCGAGGACGTGGATCTAGTGACACAGCATGGCGTCAAGCTGTGATCTCAGAAAGGACCAACAACATTGGTCTTGCTGCATTGCAATCCTGTGGGACCTCCTCCAGCTCAACGAGAACGTGCCGTGGGACCTGCTGGAGACCGACAGCATGCTCACCAACTTCCCAGTGGCGGTCCCCAGGATGGCAGTACAAAAATGGCCACGTTGTATTCAGTACGATGCCATGCGGATGGACCCGCTCGACCTCAGAGGGGTATTGCGGCAGGTTCTGATAGTGCCACGTTCGAGGCTAAGATGGCACTCATACCTCGTATGGATGATGAACTGCAAGCCCGAGGTGATTCACATAGCATGCTCTCGCTCCACATCGACAACCTGTCTCAACACCAATGGCGTGAGCCGTGGTGCAGGTGCTGAAAGCGAGTCGTGGCCATGTGCATCGCACCGGACACAGACCGCAGAGGGAGCTGGGCATGCCGCTTGGCATGCACAAGCTGAACATGGCCACCTCCCCAGGTCAGATGGCGGTGATCGCTCGAAACATGGTGGGTCAGCTTGGCGGGCGTGGTGAATATGGACTGCGCCATCTTGGAGTGACCTACACAGGTGGGAGCCACAGAGCCCACCCGAAGGCGCAAACTACGAGAGTACAACAATGGAAAAAATATGTTCAGTGAAAATGAGGCGCTGTCAACCATGATGCTCAGTAAGCGTGGTTATAAGTCTCGACTTGCTCTTACGAATATGGATCCAACAATGTCGGATGCTTACGAAAATGATGCCAACGAATGTGATGCCATGCATTGAGCTCGTCATACGTACACAGACGTTGAGCAAAGCTCTCGAAATCTATGGGCATGTACATGAAAGGCCTGAACAGTGACTTGGCCTGGCCGTTGCCCCGAGCAAAGGACACATGTGCAGCTTCAGATCGTGTTCAGAATGGTGGGTGTCCAGTGATCCTCGGCCAGACCTGCAGCGACATAATGATGATGGTCTTCGGCCACCTGTGCTGACCAGGCATTGACAGACTGCACGAAACAACTGTAATCCTGGGACTGTCGCAACAACCTGGTTCAACTAAATCAAGAGGCCACTCAACAACGTTCTTTTCTTGTGTTTCGAGGTGGGCGGACTGTCGTGTGGCCTACCTCCTTCCACGACCTTGAAGGAATCACCCCGTATGTGCTGAAATTGCCACCTGTGTTTATCTCAAAGCGGCTTGATATGCGATACCAAGATAGTAGGATACATACTGTGGACCACCCACCCCAGACCACAGCCCCTGTAGCAATTCACACATGGAACATGGGATCTGGTGGGCGTTGGCGGCTAAAGTGCTAGCTAGCAGACATGTTCTAGAACCATACGAATGCTGTGCAGCTCGGTAAGTTTCTGGAGAGGCTAATTCGCCCAACTGCCAGAACTGTGCCAGCGCTCATCATTTTGGTGGCCTGAATCCCTCGATTTTGGAAGTGCTGAAGCAATCTGGATGCATTGAGCCCTCCTTCCAGACCGCTTACGTTGTGGAGTCGGGTTTTCCCTG